TGGGTATACCCACCATCCAAGGCAACACAGTCAAGAGGGTGTATCTTGGATCCAATGTCCATCTGCACAAACATGGTGCCGTCGTTGAAGTCCTTACAGGGTACAGACTCAGACACAAACAGGATCATGCCGTTGATGTCCGTACACACCTGGGTTCTAAACCCTGACTTCTTTAGCTTGTAAGAGTAGAGGGATGAACTACCTTCTCCTCTATACGACACACGGGTATCATGGCCATCCAGGAAGAGGGTTACATGCCTAAAGTCCACTGGGTTGTTCTCCGCGGCACACAGGAGGCGTATACGCACAGAGGAGAACATGGCACCCAGCATCCTGGTTATCATGCGAGATAACTCTCCACCTCTCTTCTCATAGAACTCCTTGTGTAGTTGGTGGAAACTACTCTTGGGGATGAACTGCCCCATATCAGCCATAGAGCACCCTGTTAGGAGATGGTACAGGAGTAGTAGACCCTTCTCCACATTCGAGTAAGGGCCGCTATAGTCCTGAGTACCAAACAGGACAACCAAGAAGAAGAAGACGGGGATAACCCCAAGACGCTGAAGTACCAACTCCTTGACCATACCAATGGAGGGGATCTCCTTGGCCGAGGTACGGTGGTACTTGGACCTTTGGATGGTGGGCCACTCCCAGTCCAGGAAAGACCAGTGCTTGTTCAGCAGCTCACCGAACTCCTTTCTAATGTCGCTCTTAGTCATGCTGTGTAGTGTAGTACTTATATCTGGAGAGAGGAGTATGGATGTACCAGGGGATGAGGTACAGTGCTCAGACAATGTAGGGAAGAAGCTAAGAGGCAAAGGAGTGTAATACCCCCCTTTTAAAAGCCAAGGTATGGGAGCACGACCTTGGGTGGAATGGCATACTCCCACTCTACCTTACTTGTTGGTAACCCTGTCCACTGGTCTGTGGTTCTGTGGCAGACTCCCGGTGCCAATCCTGGCCAAGACATGGGGTTGTTGTTTAGTGGCATACTATGGCTACAAAGGGTATCTACGATGTAGCATCCACTAGTGTCATAGGGTTATCTCCACTGTGGGATATTGGGGGCATAGGGGGCATAGAGGCATAGGTATCATAGGTGTTATAGGTGGCATAGAGAGCATACACCTTGAGCTCCATGGGTATCTAGTCTGTTCCCAAGTTATATTCTGTCAGCTCCATAAGCTCTTCGAGGTCTACCTCCTTGTACTCTCCT